GACTAGGACAGTGGACTGATACCTGGCAAAGAGACTGCATCTTTGCTACACTTAGTACATATTGCTCACGACAAGCAATCTGAGGCACTCGAATCTATCACACCGCGCTAGTAGCCTTGCTTCAGAAGACTGAAACAAATGACGGGATACCTCGGTGCCCCCCTCCCCCCCTCCAAGGACGGAGGGCCAGGCTGCACACTATTCGGTGTGAAATGCTAAGGTCTAGCTACTTACTGCCACGACAGAAAATGTCTGGAGCCGTTCAATGGATTTTGAGCAGTTACGGGCAGGCCAACTACATGGGCTAAATTGAGAGATTACTCTCAATGTCAATGGCCCAATACGCAGCAAAAGCAGTGAGGAGAAAGTATGCTCACTCTCAAGTTTGACGAGACCCGACTGCACATTCCAGGTCGGCTGGACCGAAAGTAGTCTTGACAACCGTGAAAGCGGCAAGCTGCTTGCGTCACTCTTCTCGGCCCTTCAGTCTATTAGCAAAACACAATGAGCTCCTACTCCATATGCCCTGCTGGAACTCTTCGTAGGGTAAGTAATTGTAAAGGAAATTAGCAACGCTAGGAGCTCATGGAAGAACATCGTTTCCATCGACATTGTGTCGACTGTTTTAGTCCTTATCCCGTCAATTAACAAAACTAGTGATTAAATTATGGCAAAGAAATGGTCGCGCCTTGACGATCGAACAAAAATCGCTGCTTAACGTCTGGACTGGAATGCTAATTATAGTAGATATGTGGTAACATAGAAACTGCATCCTATAAATATTTTAATCTTCTTAAGGATAAAGTCCTGTGGGAAATAAAAATGTTCATTATATACATTTTCGCGTCCAGTTCCCCAGCACGTCATCAAACAAATGAGAATTATGCGAAAACAGTTAACTCAAAACGATGACTAACACAAGATTGTACGGTTGGTCAGAGCGTAGGAAGATCGTCATTAGCGGTCAGTGGGGAAAATATCTGTCATCTGCATGTAATTATGCGGCCAGGGGGATAGTTGTCATCCGCATTTAATCATACGGTCGGTAATGGCAGTTTTTGCTTCCATCTGATCTTGATAGATCTGTAATTAATATCCAAATCAATGTGCTGGTTGATACATTCCTCCAGGAATTCGTGAGACTTCCTAGTTGGACAGGCGCCAACGATTTGGGGTTTTTTCCATGCAAACGTTTGTCCTGTATCCAATGTGCGCATGACAGCCTCCGATAGATGGTC